TACTTCTCCTTTATAATAATTCTACATGTTCGCAATCAGAAAGGAGTGAACAGGACAAATATACTGAGGGCATCTGAGAAGTCTTCATTGCCAACAATCAGCCAAAGTAGAACAACTCTTCGACTATGTTGCTTGCAGGTGACAGAGAGAAAGAAAATATAAAGTAGTGGGTACTGATAAATTATAAAAAAAGGTTGAGGCGTGACCGACTGTATCCTGTGAACAGTGGCACCAGCGCTGTTGTGGCAACATTCTCTACAAGTCAACAGAGATGATCTTGGAAGATTGAGTCCAAGGGTAAATATTTACATTGCTGGCTTCTCAGTATAACCTGAGAAGGACAGACCACAACCGAACAGAATCCAGCGAGGCTGCAATCCCCAAAAAACTGCAGTGAACCGCAACTTATTATCAAAATACTTGTTATCAACTCGAACAAGCACAGAGTCATATGATTAAATCATCACCAAAAGTTACATGAGTGATAAAAAGGGGGGGGGGGGATTCCTTCTATCGTTTGTGTAAACAAGTCATTTTAGTCCGACGGAAGGCCCTTTCCTCCGCTCTCTGTGTCCATGCAAATAGTGGCCGTGGATATCCCGGGTGTGGTCAAGCTGGGGAGCCATCAGGTGAAGAAAGGGGGGTGAAATTTGTTACAGAACAAATATGGCTTCATGTCAGTGGCAATTATTTGAATTCTAATTTGATTCCCGATGTAAAATACACACTAAGTCCCTTTTTGGCTTTCCTAAACAAATGTCCTGCTGACCAGGGGGAGGAGGAGATATGTGTTTGTATGCACCTTTGTTTGGGATTTGTCTTTTATTTTCATAAACCTTCCCTATTTTAACAGCCTCCCATCCATTCTGGAGAGGTGGAGTAGTACTGACACAACCACACACACATTTGATTAAATAAACTTGCCAATAATATCACACGGACAAACTCTGACTTCCTCACTGGGGAAAAATGTAAAAGCATAAAGTAACATTTGCATTTAAATAAAAAGTAGAAAATGATTGTCCTCAGCAGAGATCAGTGTAAATTTTCACAGCTCTGTCATGAGAAATATGAGCTGCCGCAGGAACTTTTCAAAATGTAAACAACCGGCATGCTTCATCTACAAGTATTTCCACTTTCCCAGTGTCGACTGTAACCTTGTCATTGAGAGGGACAAGGAAGTAGAATCAACAGGATCATCATCGCCATGATTTACTGAATTAAACCACAAATGACAAGTGTCTCTACTTTACGGGGCTGGGTTATAAAAAAAAATGAATTTCCTGATTCAAATCAGAATGTGTGAAGCTTGAACCCCGCTAGTCTTGCGTTGTCAGATCTCGTTGAGCGGGAAAGCCTGGCCACGCGAGAGACATAAAACATGGTGGGAGCTGCTCCACTGAAGGCGCCGCGAGGCCTCGGGGCAGATGTCTGGTTGTATTTCAGATTTTAAAACTATGACGACAATGAGGAGCTGGACAAAAGCAAAGCCATGTGTAAAAAACAATTGACTAAAAGTATTACAGACCAACTAAACCATTATAGTATCCTCTTATTAATCTACTGTATTCTCTTGTAATGCTTTACTTTATATACAGTAAGCATACACACATTTTTTCACAGTAATCGTAGGGGGATAACTACACAGCTGACTGCTGTTTTTAATCTACTTTGTATTTATTATTTATTCTGCCAATCATGGGGTCTTTTTAATATGTTTCCTACATACATGCACACAGCACCTTCACCACCAGTAGACAAATGCAACACCCGTCTTCTTCTGTTTATATGTCGTCATATGACATTTGGGGATGTAAAATTATTTAATTTTTTGGTTATACAAGAGGATTAATACCACTCTCATGTCTGTACAGTGAATATAAAGCATCCAACACCTGACTGAACACACTGGAAATTAGTGGGAAAAAACCTAGTTCAGTCCAAAAACAACAAAGTCCCCCTCCCATCACTTCTGGAGCTCACTAATTAACACGGTGTGACTTGGACCAAAAACTGATATGTAAAACGACATATAGCTCTGGGCATAAAAGTAAATAAATAACCTTCCAAAAATATCAAACTACCCCTTACAGCTGCCAGCTGCTTCACACAAACCATGCCTCCTTCTCCATAGAAAAACATGTGTAATCTGGTGGACACGCTTATCTGTACTTCTTCACACTTCTGTGGATGTATATATTTTTTGCATGGGTGGTCCCAGCTGGAGTCAGCCTCCAACACCCCACCAATCCTGCACCGTTAGTTCCAGGCTTTACTCAGAGATCTATTGTACGGAGTCTACACTGTAATGCATGGACCCTGCTAATAATTCTGTGACCATGCTTTGGGTCCCGACCCAGTGTCTGGATACCACACTGGTAAAGAATGCTTGAGAATAGAGTCTTTTTGTTTGCCTCCAGACGGAAACACTTAACACATGCTCATTCTGCTGCACCCACATGCAAGGGGGAAAAAAAGGAGTGTGGCCTGTGAGGCAATACGCAACCTCATGTTGGTGAATGTAGTTCACACTGTCACACACTTATGAGCACAGCTACAGGATGTTATGCCAGAACAACCTAATGTAAAAATTTTGGAAATACATTTGTGGGCTAAAACTGTATGAAATGGAGATGGCTTCGATATAAAAGGTGAAGTCTAAAGGTCAAGGTATTGTATCCTGGCTATAAAGTGACGAATAGATGGAGTCACACATGCACATTTCCATGTCTTTCTTCAGTTTAATCACTGGGCTCGAACTGAGAGCTCAGGTTTCCTCCCTCATCGCCTCAGACGGAGTGAGGCCTGGTGTTAGCTCAGTCCTACCATGAGCTGAAGGGAAATGTTTATTTTTAATAATAATTCTACAACAGCAGGGCCTAACACTATTTGTATAAATTATAACTAAGTGGTTTGGCCTGGAGGTAAAACTCAATGTGCTACTGGGGAGTGATTACAGCCTCAAAAAATATACTGTTAGTGATAATTGGCTGACGCAAAATGAATCTCCTGTCTGTGGCAAGTCACAGACACACACACACACACACACACAACTCTGTTGCATGAACTAACAGGCAAATATCCCCATAGCTGATGGTGTTGATGCTGTGTAGTTTGGCGACCATTTCATCGAGTCAGAGAGTTCTCTGGAAATTCATGAACACCTACTCCCTAAGGACACTCCCAAAAAGCATGCAGGCACACAGGCATTAAATTTCACACCAAGTGTGTGTGGGGTGAAGAGGGCACAGCTACTGTAGCAGGATGTCTGTTGAACTACAGCCAACAGAGGATTTCCAACTGTCACGAGCTGGCCTCTCACCGTGCGCTTGCTCACACCTTGCAGCAGATCAACTTTATATCCGCTGTAAAGCTGTCGACTCGCCGTAAACAGAACGAGTGGCAACCACTTTCTCCTAAGCCTGCACTGTCTCACAGACCTGTCACGAGGCAGGCAGAGGAGGAGGGAGTGTGGCTGGATCACTGTCTTTAGTTAGTAGTGAAAGTTTAACATAAGGCAATAACAGCTCTGCTCTTATCCAATGTGAGGTAAAAAGAGTCATAAGGTACTTTCAGTAGCTTGTTGCAGGATATTTCTTTAGACAGACACTGCAGCCGTCTTAAAACAACCGACACATTCAGCTTTTCGCTCACAATACCACCATATCTTTGAGTTATCTAATAGAGCAGCTTGTTTAGTGTAAATGTCACTCACAATATTGTTGACTACACACCATTACCCCTCATACACTGTCAATCTAACTGTGACAATACCCATTTCTCAGCAGCTTATCTTTGATGATTAAAAACAAGCATAAAATACCTTTCTATACAACGTAATTAAATATGTGGAATAATCATTTGTGCAGTGCGTAATACTCTAAATATGCTAAATTTGACAAAATGTGCCCTCTTGTTGGACAGTTGACCAACTGGGGACTGGACACACCAATTAACTTTATTTCAACCTTTTCTTTACACTCTCATTATCCAAATGTTTCTGATGTAAACAATAATCCTTTGGCCAAATGAATAAGGAAGGAGAAATGATTTCTTCCCTGAACCCAAGAAACATGACATAGATGTCACTGGTGATGTGAAGAAACTGTATGTTATGGTTGACCAACCCTTCATTACGGAAGATGGTTCGGAAGCAATCGCTCAGGCTCTTGTAGCTGTTGGGGTCACTGGTTCCCGTCTGGATCTGGAATCTGCAATGACAAAATTCTTATTAAACATTCATTATGATAGATATTTACATAGACCAGTGTTATTTTTCAAACTTATTTTATATTAGGCCTTTATCTCATTTATTTAAATTCCTTAGTTTTCCTTTTCCATTGTTGTCATTTGTGTAATTTACATTGTAAAATCAGTGAGTCATACCAAGATGGAATTTTGAGGGGCGATGCCGAAAAAATTATTCTTTTATTAAAATGTAAACATAAACACTGATAAACACTCTGTCTATTTATTTTTGAAATGCTCATATTGGCTGATTTTAATAGTCCAAGTAAAAAATCGGTCCGATAAATCTGATCTTTATCATAAATGAGCTCATGAGTCTCGTTATTTCTCTCCTTCTTGCTTTCATCTCCATTTTTGCCTCCTTTGCTAAGATGAGAGGCTCCTACTCCCAGGTCCCCCTCAAGCACAGGGGAGAACTCAAACATTTATTTAACCCAACCGATCCAATTAGCCACTCAACTCCCCAGGTCCAGGCTCTTTTGTGGCCAGCTCTTCAGCTACTAACATGCTAGTAAGCCAATTGTAACAGCTCTTCGGTTACGTGTAAATTTTTAATATGAAGGAGCCAGTTGAAGGACTTTCTGGTTTAGCAAACATGCTAGTACCCCCCTAATATCAGTGGCTAGGCTCTGTGTAAATCTTTCACATGAGAGAGAATATAAATGGTGCCTGTTAGAGATAAAGAGCTTACGGTGTTGGTACACAAAGGGTATCTTAAGAGATTTTACAAACATGGATCCCAAACTCTATAGAATACACATCATACTAAAAATGACAAAAACAAAAACGATGATTTTATTGTAAGAAATGCTAACTTGAAGACATTATAAATATTGTGCAAAGAAAGGAAATATGGGTAAAAATCTAGACAAAAATGAAGAGAGTAGGAGGTAATGGGACAAGAGAAAGATTCCCTCCTCATATGGCTTCAACTGCCAGGTCACAAGGTCAGCAGTAAGTCGTCCATGCGGGTGCCTGATGGGGCCATAAAGAGCCCCCGGGCTACAGTGCAGGGGGAGTTTAGTGGGGTGAGCGGCCTTTCATAACAGATTAACATCTTAGAGGGGTGTCCCTCAAATCCTATTTGGTGGATTCCCAAATAGCTTGTAACCCATTCCTGAAAACCAGTTAAAACAGCATAATAAATAGATGTCTGACACCATATTAAAGAGAAGAAGAAAAGAAGGACTCCAGGTATGAAGGGATGGTGGAATAGAGGGTACAAAGAGGATCTGGAAGATTTAAGACTGTGGGGACTTGTAAACAAATTCAAATCTCACTTAATTAAAGGCATATGACGCTGGGGTCAAGGATGGTAGAGACCCTGTCCCCAGTCTCCTTGCTCTGCTTGCCCCAACCCGAACCAGTCCTGAGAGAGTGGGGTTGCCAGGACTGTGGTCCGGTTCCAGCCCCCTGACTCCACTTGTGACCCCAAGGTCACCTCATTTCCTCATGGCCCTCTCCTACCCTGCAATAAAAGCCAGGGACCAAACAGCGTGGCCCAGGGAGTGGGAGATAATAGGGAAGACGAGAAGAACTTGTGGCAGCAGGGGAACCGTCAAGCCCCTGGCTAGGAAGTTGCTAATGTTGCTTTTCACAGCAACTAAGAGTGGAAAATGAGACTCAAAGCAGTACTGCTTAAATGCCTGTTTTGTAGCTACAGGAAAAAAGTTCTATAAGGCCTCGGTGAATTAACAGATATACAGGTTGGCCAAAGAAAAGCAAAAGAAAATGCCTGCATGGCTCCAGCAGATTCACTTGGCCTTGGAGTCAGTCATGCAGATCGTAAACTCTGCAGTAGACTGTAGACTCAAGGACAACCCTGGGGATTCTTTAAAACACACCGTTTGGACCATCTCATTCAATCATCAGCCAAAGACAGTATACTCTGAGGTGATGATATCTGTGAGTTCATCAAGAGTCCCCCTTTTTTCTCCTTCCTACATCCCAACCCTGTGTTTATGCTTTACAGGCCCCTGAGCTGCCAAGGTGAGGGTGAAGGCAAGGACAGGCTGGTGCTTCTGTGAGCAAGACAAGCACTCTGGGGGAAATAATGCTGAAGACCTCGTCCACCTGACCCCCTCTGCCTATAAAAGTACAATTTCTAGGCATCCACAGAGTAGTCAAAAAGGTAAATGAGGGCTGTGGAGCTGGCTCCAGCACCATTTTTTATATTTTTATGGACAGGAGTGCAGTGGTCGAGGGCCTTGCAAGGCCGTGTCCGCTCCCAGACCCCGTTGATAATGGGCTCAAACTGGGGACCAACAGGACAGGCTGTCACCTCAGAGAAGACGAGATGTTGAAGTAAGGCTCATTAATGTTGGTGTTAAAAAATGCCTATGGGAAGGGGTACAGGGAGTTATGAGGTTGATCAAAAGGCAGCGGTTTGATGGGCTTTCTTTTAAAAGGGGTAGGGCAAGCTTTTTAGGGAATCTCTTAAAATATGCCCGATTAAATGAGGGGTATTCCCTCAGTGGCATTCAAAGTGTGGCAAGTTTGATGACTTGCTCAGTTTAAATTTAGGGCCTGGTATGGGCTGACATGAAATCATGTTTATAGCTGTTCACACAGATTGACGTATAAATAAACAACCTATGTATACGTAATGATTATCTACAACAGATAATTATCTTTTGCTATATATTACATTGTAGTTTTTTAATCTGGGCAATATCTCCAAGTACGGTGAGAATAATTTATGTGTGTTTCTGCATATTTGGATTGGTTGCTACGAGAGCCTTGATCTAGACATGCCTTTCCTCATGGAACAAAATATTTTGACAAAAAATGGAAAGGCACAAAATAAGATAGAAGGAGGAGTGGAACTGAATCAACAGGGAATTTCTCATGTTAGATCTGGAGCGCATAAGACAATCCAGAAGGCAACATAAAGGGAAAATCTATTTTTTACAGCTACACAGTTAATTTTAATGAGCAGGATCATAAAGATGGTAAAAGTCCATTGCATTGGTACACGAGGTTAAGAGCACTTTCCGAACTAAATGGTCCAACATGGCAAATGTGGCCAATTGTGACTTTAGTCATCCAACTGTGCTTCAGGGTCAAAGCATCAAAAATAAAAGGGCCCCTTTTGGAGCTGATGACTACTTGTTTTGATCACTCATTGTTGTCGACAACAGTGCTGACTGACTAACTGAGGAAAAAAGTGCTTGATAAATAAAAAGAGCACATGACGATAAGAATGACAGTTTGATGTCAAACTACTTGTAGTGTAGCACTGAAACATGATTATTTATTTGGGATACAATCCAATCTTTGACTAGCTCTTGTTACTACATGGTCTGTACTTATTGTACGTTTTTTTAGACAAACATGTCTGCCAAGATGAGGCCAATAAAGACAGAACTTTGGAGAGCAGAATAGAAAAATAAAGTCAAGTAGAAGAAGATTGAAGATGGGAGTAAAGGGGGGTAAGTGATAAACCTTTGATGCTTGTGACACGGCAGCCTGCCAAAGCTTGATCTAGCCCAGGCCTGGTTGGGTTTCACCAGCACCACAAGCCGACTGGACCTGTGAAAGCCAAGGTTAGAGAGCATGGCTTTGGTGCAAATAAGGGAGAAAGAGAGACTCTGACTGTTTAAAGACCTACGCCATCCTTCTGTCACTAAGCCAGACTTCTTTCTCACACTGATAAAACTGACTCCCCTGATTCCCTACAGTGATGTTGGAACCAGTTTTCTGGTCCAGATGTCTGCTCATATACTCTGACCTCTGTGACCTGAGATCAGGCTGCATTACCGTGGAAGCGCAGGAAAAGAGCTGCATAAAACAGCACGAGGACAGACTGGGCAGGTCCAGGCCAAGACCGAGACTCAGATGTTTTGAACATTACATACTTCGGGTTGACTGATAGATCACTCTATATGTTAGAGTGGACTGTGGCAAATTTAGAAAGCCACTAAGCTTAAGTGGAGCAGATAGGTGGAAAAAATGAGCAGTCTTACTGACATTTCCAGAAAGTGGTTGCAAAGCAAAAAGGATTTCTTGGGTGTTTAAACTGGGGTCTCTTAACCTCTGCCAAGTGCTGTTAACTGAAATTATGGTACTAATGTTAGAGCTGTAGTTTTAATTATAGTATGATAAAACAGTAAAAAAATGTTTTACAGCAGTACTGCAGACCTAAGAGTATTCCTCAAGTACAAATTAAAACAGGAGCTTGACTGATTCATAATTTAAAAATAGGAGAAATATGCAAATCCATGGCTGGATAAAATTGAGAAAAACAGAGAACATTACAGATGATGATGGCATTGCATATAAACTCAGTCAGGATTACCCGGTTATGGACTGGTCCAGGCCAGCGTCAGTAATGGCCACTTTGATGTTAGGAAATGCTGCAGGATTTTGGAGACTCCCCTGACAGCAGATAACCACTGGCTATAACACAGTGCAGTTGAGATAGAAGACAACTGGCCTGAATGCTTCCAGAAAGAAAGCTGAGAGTTACTATTTCTACTTTCCACTGTCTGGTTTGGGCTCTATCTTGAAAGGCCAACACACAGAACTCTATTGTAGACACTGACGAAAAATAAATAATATTTTACACAGGTTATTTTCTATTGCTTTTTCTTTTCGACTCTTCTAATTCTTAATTCTATCCAAACATTTGCAATTTGATAAGATATTGGTGTGTGGGAATACCTATTTAGACTGAAACCAAATGAGTAAAGTTTCATGAAGGCAGGCTGATCGGTTGGATGTGAAGATAAAAGGCACATGTGTGCATCTAAGGGAAATAGCTACGACTACTGTTATCTGTTAAAGTTGTCTTCTTTTCCTATTTAGCTTTCCTTTCATCATTTACCTGACATATGCATCTTCTTCAGATAAATGCTACACTGATCTCAACTGGGATTATTGAGTAAGAACTAAGGATAAGGACTTAAAGCCAGTCCAGACTATAAACTCTTTAACTGGATGCAAACCAGATCCTGTAGTTATT